ACAGATGCTAAGATGTGTTTGTCTCTCCCTCCTGCTGTCGCAGGCTGGCACTCGTGTTTAATCTGGTTTGTCTGCTCGGTGTGAAAGATAAATAGAAATGAATAACCTGGGTCACACCAACACAACACTCCCACCTACTCTTCATCTCGTTTCACTCCTTTCTTTTCTTCAAATTAGCTTCTCTCACACCTTCCTCCTCACACGTCCTTAAGGGCTGAACTCATGACACCTTCACCGTTATTCTTACTTTGTTTTTATTTATTGAATTCAGTTACGCCGGTTTTCCCTCTAACAAGATGTAGTGCCAATAATTAAGGTTGAACAATATCTGTGAAGTCAGAACTTAAACACCTTCCTAATTACACCTCCATGTCCATATTTTAAAATCATGCTATGTTAAAAAATGTACTCCAACTTAACAAAGGCTAATTTTTTACATTTGACCAAATTAGAGTTGCGGGGGGCTGGAGCCTATCTCAGCTACTGCAGGGTAAGAGGCACCAGTCACAGGGCTCACACACACACAGAGAACCATTCACACCCATGGGTAATTTAGAATCCCCAGTTATAAACTGGCAGCTTGCACATCTGGAAAGGCTCCATTATTGCAGAAAGGTAAACACAGGCTTTCGAGCAACATATGCTCTCATCCAGACAACAACGTTTTGAGAGAAGGCCTTGCATATTGCAGCAAGACAATGTTAAACCACACACTGCATCTGTTACAACACCTTTGAAAGCATTTGGTGGTTTATGAGACTAAAAGTACAATGAAGAAAGCCCCGGACTGTGGAGCAGCTACAATCTTCTATCAGACGACAATGGGACAACTCTTCTCATGTCCAGAGACGTTTACAGACTGATGATAAAGGAGAAAGAGTACACAGTGATAAACATGACCCCGTCCCAACTTTTATGAGATGTTTTGCTGCCATCAAATTCAAAATGAGTGAATATTTTTCATGAAATAGAAAAATGTCTCAGTTCAAACATTTGATATGTTTTGTGTGGTCTATGTGGACAAAACAGGGGTTTATGGGGTTTGCAAATCCTTGCATTCTGTTTTGTTTACTTTTTGATGTGATTTACATTTTGCACAGCATTCCAGTTTTATTGGAATTGGAACAAGCGAGGCTCATGTGAGGTCATCCATAGGTCTTTCCCCAGGGTAACTGCAATTTCTGTGTTAGCTCTATTTTACACTGCTGCACAGAGGTACTTGCTGTACTGAATTGTTGACTTCCGAATGAGTAGCATTTGGAGGAAGAGAATTAAGCGGATGTGTGGACCTCTTGTGTCCACCTGTAGGTTTTCTGTGTGAGCTTACCTTGCTCTCCTCACGTGCAGATGCTTTTTGTGATGTCATTATGGACTGTTGTCTCTCTGTTGTCTCTCTAGTACAAACTCTGAAATCATGTCATACCACAGGATTTTACATACTAGAGCAGGTTTTATTGTTCTCTAAAATCAGGAAAGAAAGATCTTAAATCATATATAATAATAGATTTCTCACACTCTTAACAGCTTTGTGTCTCTGTGTTAGCAGTTTTGGAGACTATGTTCTTCTTGGTGTGTCAGCAGTTAAGTTAAGGAAGATTTAGGTTGAGTTTTTTTCTAGTTCTGTGTCCAGCCAAGCGAAACCAAAGCAAATTGAGTCTGGAAAAAAAAGAAGAAAAAAGAGCGCTGCTTCAGGTAGAGTTGAGTTTGATTCAGCTGGAAATATGAAGTGAGCATGAACTGAGCTGCTTTTGTGCTTATCAGCAGAATGAACCAGCAGGTAACAAAGAATGAGAGAAGAAAACAGGAAAGTCATAAGTGTGTGTGAGGAACGGGTTTGGACATGTAAATTAGTTATTAGTTATGAGACCACTGTGTTGTCTTGAAGGCTGACCCCATGTGTTGATGAGGCCTGCCAGATGTTCACTATATGAACATCTGCCAGCAGGTGAAGGCTCCATCGCAATGGGAGCTTTTTGTCAGTGAGGAAAAGTTGCCTGTTTTCATGTGTGGACAACATTTCACATGAATGAGTCACAAGTTTGAAAGTCATCAGTCAAACTAGCAGCAGAAATAGGACCTCATGCACACACGTACACTGGATAAAGGTTTGTTCTGTTCTGTTTAGTAACCAGACTTTGAAAATGCTGAGGACGCTGAGGAGACCAGTGAAATCATTCGCTCCCCCAGAGCTCGGCCTTTCTCTTCCATAGCTATTCAAGCTCACACAGGGAGAAAAAAAATTCTTTCGCACTTCTTGGAAAAGAGCAAGACACCAGCGTTAAATGGACACATTTGACAGAGCAAAGTGAGGAAGAATTGACCTTTTATTCTTCCACAAACTGCTAAAAGTTTTATGAACACATTCAGAGTTCACAGTGAACAAAAACCTTTCTCTGGTCTACGAGCTGAAATCAACAATTGGCAGAACAGATCTGAGATCCAGACTCTGAGAAACACAATGGACGAGGCTGTCTATGTGAGGAACACAGTCACAGATGAAGTGCATGCTTAGTGTCAAAAATGGAACTCAGTATCTCAAATAACATTCACAGTGTCATTTTTTCAATTATTATAAGGACCTCCATAACTTAATTTGCAACCTTTTATTCAATAGGTTGGAGAGTGTAATGCAATGTTTTTAACATTAGGACTGAGGAAATATCATCAGTAGTCTAATCGTCAGATCACAGGACATTTTGAAAGTGAGCTGGCAGTGGCTCATCTGAATCTTGTGTATTCAGTAGTCTCTTTTTGTAGTGTTTGCATGTTCTCCCTGTGATACTGGCTTTCCTCGCACAATTCAAGACCTACACCTTGGCTGGAAACTCTTTAAAAATGCATTTTTCCAAAACATTTGTCTTACTGATGGTAAATAAAGTGAATGAACTAAACTAAATCAATCAACCACTAGATGGTGACAAACACTGTGATTGTACACATCTGCAGTAAAGTGAATTGTTACAGTGAAGCATAACAACATGAAACCATGGAGCCCTCCTGCCTTGAATCAGGTTCAGACTGCTGCTGGTGTGCTGGTGTGAGGGATATTTTCTTGGCATACTTTGGGCCCCTTAGTACCAAATGAGCAAGTTAAAACACCACAGCCTACCTGAGAGTTGTTACCGAGCATGTCCATCGCTTTATGACTACAGTGTATCATCTTCTTATGGCTGCTTTTAGTAGGATAACCCCCCATGCCACAAAGCTCAAAGCATCTCACATTGATTTCTTGAACATCATAAAGGATACACTGTACTCAGATGGCCTTCACAGTCACCAAATAGAGCACCTTTAGGATGTAGTGGAACGGGAGATTCATATTATGGATGTCAGCCAACAATTCCTCCAGCAACTGTGTGATGCTGTCATGTAAATATGGACCAAAATCTCTGAGAAATGTTTCCAGCACCTTATTGAATTTGTGCCATGAAGAATTACAGCAGCTCTGAAGAAGCAGATGTCCAACCCAGTACCAACAAGGTGTGCCTAATAAAGTTACTGAGTGTATATACAATATGGTTCTTACTAATATTACTGCTTCCATTACTGTTAGAATTATTATGATTAATTCAACAACTGTAACAAAATAATTTGTCCAATATGGGATCAATAATTAAAATAAGTTGTTATACTGGAATATAACACAGTGAGACATTCTGCTTTACTTTTCCCTTCGTGCCCGTGCTGAGTAAGCACACATACAAGGAAGGTTTGCTCTTCTCTTTTCTTTTGTGTTTGCCTGGGTCAAGATGTTATAAATGGGAAACAAGTGTAAGATGAACTGGAATTTCTCTTGAAATGAACATCCCAGCTGAGGCTATTTTAAACATCCACGCTGAGTGGTTTCCACTGTTACTTTAATGGCCTCAGGTCAGAAACTATCACTCATCTGTAATATGCGAGAATGGTTAATATGCTTTTTATGATGCATCTTTATCTATTTAGGGCTCAAAATCTGTAAGGGAACAGTACAATCAGATCTGGTTTTGAATGAATGACAGAAATTCAAAGCAGCGGGTCATCTATGTTCTATTTAAGCACAGAGGAGAAAAAAGGGACCAGAGTCCAGGTTATTTGGAATGTATGGGTTTATGAGTAATCAAAAGGATGATAACTCATCCCAGAAATAGTCAGATGTTTCCCATCTGCGACAGACGAAACAGCTATAACACAGCAAGGCTTAAAAAACGATCTGGAAAAATGGATGTTTGTCATTTCTGTTAGAAAATCATATTCACACATGGCCTTACTATGCGTGCAGGTGCAGGAATCACACACCTCTCATATGTGTGATCACAGGCTACCACAGGATACTTAATCTTTGACCTCCACTATCCCTACTCTCTGACAAACACAGACTGGCAAACATAGTGGAGGTGGACAGGTGTGTGGTCAACCAGCTGTTTTCAGCACACACCTCTGGTGTATTAATGTGCTTTATCCAGCAGAGTGCAGCAGCAGATTTATATGTGAGTGTGTGTGTGTGTGTAATGGAAAGAATTCTGTATGCCCTTTGGCAGTGTCTGCACTCCTGATTCAGGAGTTTCGTACATGTGTACATCTGTGAAAATATATTTATGTTCCGGTCTGTCTGCGCTCTGCCTGTGTCTTTTCATTGTGAGGTACGTATGGGACAAAACATTACACAGCACATGTGGTGAGTGATGTGGAAAACAACCAGGGGAAGGAAAAAAGAAAGAACTGATGGAGCAAAAGGAAAAAGATAAAAGGGAATATGAGAAACAGGAAATTAAATGACAGAAATGGGAGGTCAGAGGAGAAAGAGAAAGCAAAATCTAAGGATGAAGTCAAATCACTCATGTCTGTCACTCCCACTCCACAGCTCCAACACTGTGGGAGAGGAACGTGCCGGGAAACTCAGAGAGGAAAGCAGCATAAAAATCCTGCCGACCTTAAATGACAAGTGACGACGTATAAATGATGAAAAACCAACGACAGAGGGATTATCAGCCCACTTCTACCAACAAACATCTTTTTTTATTTTTTTTCACACTGTTCAATAAATACAAAATGTAAACAAGCTTCATATTCATAAACAACAAAGACAACGGGCATCATGAGATCTGACTGAAATTCAAAACAGGAAGAAGAAGAACCAGAGCACAGAAGCGCTGAGATCGACTGGAGGTGTTTCAGACCTCTTGCTGTCGAGCGGCACTGATCCGTCTGTGAGCGACACCGGGTGGAACCACAACAATGAAAGCAGCAGACTGTGGCAGGCAATTTTCAAACCCTGCCAACTTCACTGTCTTGTACATCTTGTATTGCTTATTATTTATATGCTTTACAGGTAAAAAAAAAAAAAAAAAAGGAAACACTTGCACGCGCACACATTCACACTGATTTAAGCTGTGCTTCACAAAGAAGCTCTGTCAGTCAAATACAACTAGCTCTCTCAATATTACCAACATTTAAAAGTCCAGCTGGATTTCTGAACACTGAACAGCGGTATCTGTTTACACCATTTGTCCATTTTTTGTTGAACTGCTTCCAAAAAAAAAATTACAATTAAAAATCCAACACATGATCAAGGCACGAAAATGAAGGCAGCATATAAGTAAATGCTGGTGGGTCTTCTCCGCAGTTCACTTATTGAGTCTTTTATTTCCATTTTACAGGCCTGCTGTGTCCACTTTGCCTCGTTACAATCCTGAAGCTGATACAGGGTGGGTGTCAGGGGAGGGGAGGGAAGGAGGAAGGAAGACCTCAGAGAGCAGCTCTGGCTTTTTGTCCGTCTTGGACGAATAAGGGAGGCTCAGGGATCAGTGGTGTCTCCAGGTTTGTCTTTTGTCTGAAGCCTTCATCACCATGCCATCTTCTTCTTTGTCACCTATAGACAAAAGCAAAATGTGCTGAGCACCCACGAAACAGGAAGTTGTGCTTTTACACTAACACTGTGCAGAAACAGCTTCTAAGTACAACGTTTTTAACCCGGCGAGAAGCAAATTCTTTCAGTGCAGATATTTACATGTAATTAAAAGCTATTTACACTCATCGCAGATTTTTTATTACATATAAAGCGACCTCTCAAAAGGTCAAGAGAGTGTGCTTACCGAGACATTTGGGGCAGCAGGAGCCCTCTGTGCGGGTGATGTCGGTGCAAGTCAGTAGTGGACATTGTTTCCTCTGACACTTGGTCACACCATGCTGTGGAGAAAAAGGAAGGATTTGTGAAAATAGCAACATGTGGCAGTAAAGGTTGTTTGTTTCCTCTGATAATATTAGATATACCTGCTGTATTTTCTAGCTGTAAACTCAACACTGAATAAATGCATTAATTGGGTCTCCTTTTTGATAATTTTTTCAGATTATCTGGCTTTTCAGCTACTAAGCACTATTTTCACTACCCACTCTAGCTAACAGAGGTAGCTAACTCCATAAGCTAGAATGAGTACGTAGGTTACAAAGTTTCTATTAGAGATCTTAACTGAAACCAGCTGTTGCCTACTGCAGCTGGAAATATAGTGAGAGTTGAACAAACAGATTAACCAATACAGCGAGCTGAGAGGCACTTTAAATACTGAACAGCAAAACTGGGGGATGACTCAACATACACACACACACACACACACACAGCACATTCACATTACTGGTTTCAGTTCCTTATCAGATCTTGTATTCAGTTATCGTGAATACATTTAGTCTGAACTCTCTGGAAACTATGATTCATTTCCGTAGTTATATAATGAAAATATCATCTATCATCCATTAAGTATCAGAAAAAACATTAATAATATAAAAGTAACATTTTGGTAAAATAAGAGAATTTCCTCTTGTGTCATATTTACTTACATCACACCAGCAGTTGATGCACTTCATCTCCCCGAAGAGTGGCACCCAGGGATGCCAGCTGTCGCTGTTGTGGTAGTAGTTCTTGCCAAATTTGCAGTATCTGGGGCTGTCTGCTTGCATCATGTCACTGTGCTCCAGGGCTGCAGTGGTCCTCTCCTCCTGGGGGCACACCTTGCAGCAGTCGGTGGGGTGACGTCTCACTGGGTGACTGCAGGTCAGCATTGGACATGTCACCTTCTCACAGTGAACCTCTCCTGTAGATCCCTATGGATAAAACACAGCCAACAGCAGGAGGTCAGCAGCAATTTTTAACTTCAGCAGCTGACTTAGTGCTTTTTCCACATAAATAGTTTGGACATATCCCAAGAAAGAACTGATGAGAAATGTATTAAAGCTTCACTTTCTTTGGACTCTAATACAAAACAAACGACCCATTAAGAGCCAGAAAGTAAAGCCAGCCAGATGTGAGGAGATTTATTGATATGTATTTACCTTGCAACTGCACACGGCACATTTAATGTAGCCAAAAGGAGGAACAAAGGGGTGCCATGTGGTCCCAGGGGCATGCATCTTCTGGTCTCCTTCGAAGTAACAACCTGACAGAGAGAAAGGGTTACTGAGGACAGTCAGTAAGAAAATCCCTGAAGGAAAAAAATGCAGCACCGAGACATGCAGAAATAAAGGCAAAATAAAAATGAAAGAAGACCTGTTACACGTTTTATTTTTTACATATGCTGTTATGGTAGTTTATCTTATACACTCGTGTATGTACAACCCAGAGCCTTTAAATGATCATTTTGGTCTGACTTTTGGTTTAGTAAGAGCAGATATCCTCGATATGATCTTAATGTGATCATCTCTGGCACATAGCTCTGGCGAAAACTGCAGAATCCCCACCCACCTGTTGCTCTAATCTGTTTTATGAGGGGCAGCCAATCAGAAAAAAAGCTGACTGAAAAAAAGAGGAGGAACGGAGCTAAAATGACTTTCACTCAGCAAATTATCTGAGGAGCTTCGTCAAAGCCCAGTATTCTTTCAACTCACGCAGAAGTACTGAAGTAAAGATTAAGAAATAATTATAGGAGATGGAAACGAGCAAAAAAAGGTCCCTTTTAAAGAATGAGAAAGAAAGAAGAGCTGAGTTATAGACAGGAGAAGCGGTCCCTACCTTCAGGATGTTCATCAACCCTCTCTGGAACTTTCACGTCCTCGAGCTCCTTCCTCTCTGTACAGGAAAAAGGAAATGGAGGAATTAGTTTGAAGCTTTATGATCGCTGTGGGAATAAAATAGATCCACAAAAAGCAGTATGAAACCTGATGCTGAACTAAAAACGGGCTAACTCACCATCACAGATGGGGCAGCATTTGCCCTCCGGTTTAATGGTTCTGGAGCAGGTCAACGCCGGGCAGATGACTGGATCACAGATCACTGTTCGCTTCTACAGAAAAAAGCCCACAAAGATTTGACGTGAATTTTACATGACCTGCTTTTTAAATGTTTTAACATTCTATTCAAATGATTCATTTAAACATCAAAAAAAAAATTGTGTTTCTGGCGCTAACCTGGCAGATGCAGGAGAAGCACTTGTCATAGTTGGGCGTCCAGCTGGAACCATGAGGGTAGTGCTGGTTCTCAAAGAAGCAGGTATGGGGGTCTTTTTTTATCTCCTCGGGGTCCTTTGACAGAAAGTCTTCCAACTCCTCCTCCTCCTCCTCTGCCTCGCTCCTGGTCCCAAACTCGCAGTTGTTTGGCACGTGGACCTGGTGAGAGAGAATGTGTGAGGAAAAGAAAGGAAGCGACAGATGGACATGGAGGCCATGAAAGAAAAAGAAGAAGGGGGGGGGAGATAACAAGAAAGATGAAAAAAAAAGAAAACAGGAGAAAGCAAAGTTAGGGCAAGAGTGATCTGTTGGACACAGCTGACTCAAAACCGGTGTCAAGTCATCTAGTTAATTGTTCTTAAATGGAGCATTTTTGTGGTCCTGAGCAGATGGCTGTTTATGTGTTGGACCTGTTTCCTATTAAAACAGCTGGATACTTCTGTTCCACGTGTGTGAGAGAGATCACTCTTCTTAGTTCAACTGTTAAACAACATATTGTTCAACAACTACACCTGCAATGCTGCAGCTAGCTTTGCAAGCAGCTGTGGGCTATGGCTGTGAAAGTGTGTTGTTTTGTGTAGGCTAGCAGGCACTAAGCGGGCAATCATGCAACCTCGCAAACACAAGGCTTCTTTAGATTGCTAAAAGAAACTCCCGTTTGCACACATCCAAAATTACACTTCTAAATGTGAAAATCATAGTGGTTCATCTTTTATATATGACCTGAGATTGAAGTGCCTGTTTAAAAAAAAACAAACAAACACAAATTGAGCACACCAAAGTTGTACATACCCGTCCTCGTATTTCTCCTCTCGGGTTGAGCTTGGTGCTGACCTGGATGAAGGCTGTTCCCTGGTCCAGATGTTTCAGTAATTCAACACTGATGTCCTTTAACACTCCCTGAGCCTTGAGGAGACCAAAAGACAAAAACATTGAGTGGCCTTCTTTACTCCAAATACACTGATGAGCGTAAGGACACATTTATTGTGTACACTGATGTACCTTTGAGCCATAGAAGCCAGTGAGCAGCCTCATGTGGGTGCTATCATCTAGCTCTCCGATCTCAGCCAGTCCGTGGAGGCGGGCGTTCACCGTCAGGTCGTCAGTTGGGCTGAGGCCTGCAACAAGTATCTCATAATGCAGGTGGCAGTATTTGTCCACTGACACCCAGGCATGGCCAGAAGCACCTGTTCTTACTGGTGGGGACACAAAGTGGCCAGCTAGAGGGGTGGGCAACTCTGGAGGAAGAAGAAGGAAGCAGTTCAGAATATTTGCATGCATATTGGCATGGTTTTTTACATTAATTTCACAACCTTAATCAATGTATACCATGTCTAGGTGCCTCTAGGCCACTATAAGGGAGTGCCTTGATCTGCCCCCGCAGCTCCCCCTCCTGGCTCTGTGCTGTTGCGACATTGATGAAGAGCTCATTCTGCAGCAGCATGTGGATGTGTCGGGCCTCCAGGCGGCTCCAGCTGCCTATCGCCTGCCCCGTGGCCTTGCTGAACTCTGGCGTTAAATCGCACAGGATGGAGCGCTTGTTTCTCCTACGTGGCTTCAACTCAATGGTGAGGCTGACGACATCGCTGGTGAGCCCTGTGACCTGAACCTGAAGAAGATGAGAGAGAAAGGTTGAAGTCTAATCACTGTCAGAGTTGCCTGTCTTATTCTAAGGGTGGGGGTTACTGCTGATCTCTCTGTGTTTATGCTTTCCATGTATACATGGAAACATACAGGGTGGGGAGGCCCCAGAACAGAGTCACACTAAACCACATGGAAATAATAATCCTATTTTGACTAAAGTACCTTGACAGAAATGCAGCTGGACCTCTTGCAACACTCAAATAAAATTTGAGTCAAATCCAGTCAAAATATGTATTGCAAGACACATTTGTGAACAACAACAACCCTGCAAAAGTGAGCAGACTCATACCTGGTACTGCAGCGTTCCATTATCATGGAGGTTGAAGATAGCAGATCCCACACCTCCCGTCTTCCCCGGGATCAATGCATCACTGCTGGACATCACACTCTGAATAGCTGCGCCAGAGAAAGACAGATTCATATCAAAAATCCACTTCAGAGCACATTCCTGCTCACACTACTTATCTAAAATCAGCCACGTTGACGCCCCTCTCTTTAATGTACAGCCTGACGCCATGCGAGATGATGTAATGATTTCTGTCACATTCAAGTTTTCTGAGAATAAAAAATATTACAGCCACATACCCATGATTTTATCCATTTACTGAAAAAGAGTCACTGAGAGGGCAGATTAAATTGGACAACTAGTCAGAAGGCGTGTCTGCTTGAGTGGCACTCAGGCCAAATACATATATGTTAGCACACGTGCACACACACACGTGCATACAATAACCCACCCAAGATTTAAGCTTCAAAATGAGGTAACCTTAGCTGAATGCAGAAGGCTTAAAAGAGTGGGCTGAGAGGACAGAAGGGAATGAGTAAGAGAGGAGAAAAACGTCTGAAAATGACACAGACAGAAAGAAGCCAGAGAGGAGGAAAGATGCCAAAGACGACAGCAGATGATGGGATAGAGAAATGAAGGGAGAGAGAGTGGGAATGAGAGTGGGAAAAAGTGGGAAGGAGGGGGGGATTGGGTTTGAATTCTTCAGACATAATATCAAGCTGTTAATCACAGGACTGGAACACTGGCAGGGAAACCCACGTCCTGCAGACTGTGACCTTGGCAGTGCAACTGTGTGAGTGACTATGTGTGTGTAAATATGTTACAAACCAGCATCTTCATACATATGTGTCTGTGTATTACAATAAATGTTTCACGCTAATGCGAAATGTCCAAATATGCATTGCACTGAAAGTATGCACTGTGTGCATGCTTTAACTGTTTCAGACGATTAAGCTGTCCACAACATTCCTCCAGCCACACACACACACACACACACACACACATGCAAACAGTCTTGGTGGGCCACCAAGTCAAACAGAAGGTCTGTAAACATGGTTTTCCCCCAGCGATAAGACTTGAAAGAACCCAGACAGAAAAAAAGTATTTATAGAGGTGAATGACAAAAACAATCCACAGACAGACGAGCGGCAAACCAACAAACATGTTCTCAGCAGCCTCATTGTCTGGTGCCTTAACACTGCTGGTGACATGTAGGAGAGGATGGGCCGATTGCAGTAAATACTTACTGTCACAAGATTTTCTGCCTGTGATGAAACCTGAGATTTGCCTGGGATCCTGACCCTCGGCGGCCACAGCGATCTCCAGCTGACCGCGAGATAACCAGAACAGCTCACGACTGTTCAGATCTGTCAGCACCTCTGCAAAGTCCGGATCCTGCACACATTGAAAAGTACGAAAAGTTAAATGTGGATAAATATAAAACCATTTTCCTCTTAAAACAAATGCCTTTTCAAATGCTAGCAATAAAAATGTCACATTATGCCATTTTGGATGTTGTCGACAGGATGTTGGTACAACACTGGCATGTTACCAGAGAAACAAAACCTCAACCAGTTTAAACCAGTTTCCAGCTAAAATAAAAAAAAGTTTTTGGGACAATTAAAATGTGATCTGCAGCACAGAGAGCAAAAACAAAAGCCGAAAGACAGTGAAATTGGCTTGAGATAAAATAAATAGGGCAGTCAGAAAGGAATCACAAAGTCAGAACGCATTAACGCACAAATGGCTTTCTTACAGAAAGAACACAGCTCTAAAATTGCCCCCACTCATACATGCACACTTAAAACTTGAGGCAAAAAATATGGCTTGAATTGCCTTGAAAAGTCTCATACTGAGAGAAATTAGATTTAATGCAGGCTGACCGGTCTCCAAGAAGACGTTGAAAAATGTTGGATTAATAGGACAGATGCACACGAGTGTTGGAGAAATGTTACTTTTATGACCTGTGGGGCCGCAGTTCAATATAAATACACATGTACCATAAATCCGCACAGCGAGGGGCTAAAACAGAGTGGGAATGGCAGGGGGGGGATGAATGGACACAATTATGAGAGAGGAGGAAATGTGTTGTACAAATAAAGCCAATTATCTTCATCATCATTGCCCAGCTAGAAATAGTGTATGAGGTGTAATTCATAGTTTTGCGTGTATTTTTCATGGACAGTCTCTCAGAGAAAGAGAGGCGCATCGGCCCTTCACGCAATTCCTGGGAGAATTAAAAACAGGCCCGCCTTTCATCACTCCTCCTCCTCCCTCCATCCATCTCAGCCCCGCAGACCACTAACCACTGACATGTGTGAGGAGTGTGTACGCAGTGCATCCTCTTTACCTCCCTCCTACCCTCCCCTCTTTTCGTCTCCCAGACGTCTCACATCTGTCTCATGCAAAACTACTTGCTAACTTTCTCCCCTCTAGTTTCCTCTCCATCCATTTTTTTTTTTTGTCGTGTCTTTTCTGTGATCAGAGCAGCGGCAGTGGCAACATAACTAGGATGTGGTGACAAAACCACATCCATCTCTGAGAGAAGGAGGCGTGGGATGTTCTGTGTCCTAAGTTTTTTAGTGAAAACAACACTGCTCCTCCCCCAGTCACCTTTTAACTTTTAGTCTGTCTCAGATATAAATGCATCTATTTTACTTTACCCAAAGTGCCCACTTATTTTACTTGGTGATGGATTGAACAACATCTATGGCTCTTTTTGGGTACAAAATATCATACCTGTCAACATTTTTCAAAATCTGCCATTTTATTCAGTTCTTTTTCATTTAATTTTCAGCATCATACCCAAATATTTTGTGAAACTGTGACATTAAACTAAAAATGTCCCCTCAATATGCACAGTAACTACCTGTCACTTACGGATGGATGCATTATTTAAAAATAACATTTTTAAATAATTTCCCAGAAGACACATGAAGAAGAAGTGAGTCTTAAACAGGAGTGTTGCGAGGTGTGAAATGGTGGCTACATCAAGCTTATTGCCCCTGGGTACTTACATGAGACGTGATGTTGGCTCGGATCTCTCTCAGGATGTGCTGCCGGTACAACAGCTGGACTCGGACGGGCACCAAAATGGGGTCTGAGAAGAGACAGAGTTGTCTCAGTGTCACTCTTTTACATTCCTTGACTTTCATATTAATGCATCTACATTTATAGAAAGATTTCAAGTGAACTTCCTCCTCCCTCTCACCTCTATCTCTGTGTTGGATGAGGCCCTGCAGGATGAGGATGAAATGGAGGTTGTTCTCAGTGTCACTCAGCGTCAACATAGCAATGCCTCCCATGGCTGAATTCTCTTCCTCTGACGTCAGTATTGAACTGAATGTCTCTGTATGTAACACATGTGCACATTAGATCTGCATTCTCTTACGGGACTTGTAAACAAAGCCGGCACATTTTAGCTACATTAATCCAAGCGAAGCCTTTTAAGATTACATGAAAATATACACGGCTCCGCTGCTTTGTAAATATTGAGCTTCTTGTGTACTGTGACACAAAGACAAAGGCGTACACATGTCTCAAAAAAAAATGAGCCATTGGAGAGCTACAGCATCCCACATGGATACACACCAGCAAACAGTGCTCTGTGTTTGATGATCCTTCCCTCCACTTCGTCTCGTTGGCCTGTGGACGTGGACATGCTGATGTGCATCTGCTCAGACTGCAGCTGTCGCAGTAGAGGCTCAGCCACGTTCTTCCATACTCCACAGATCTACACACACAGAAGCAGGTAGGTGCTTAAAAGATGGAAATCATTTTATACTTCTTCAGGATAGCATGCATGTGGCAAATACACATATCAGACACCACAGGCACATCTGTTGAATACATCCAACCATTGTACTCTCAATCCTGGGCTGCAAAGCTTCAACATAAAACCTCTCCCTGAGAGCAGAGGGAAGAAATGTGGCGTTGTGCCTGTGCCTCATAACTCAAGAGTTCAGGGGTAATCTCCATTTTAATTAGCGATGTTCTCTGTCCCCCTGCTAAGCAGTGATGTAACATGTGAAAAATCCTCTCTTTCCCAAAAGTTTTGTTTAAGCAAAACCCCCTTCCTTTTCTCATGCCAGAGTGTTTTCTCTAAGGTCCTCTGGCGCTTGACGCTGCCATTTATCTAAAAATAATAACAGGCCCAATTTCTGGGACCTGCATTTAGGGGGCTCCTGCCTCACTGAGCAGGCAGTTCAGGTCTGAAATGGAATGTGGAGATGTGTGTGTTTTGAAATGATGCTTAGTGAGAAGAGTCAGACCTCGAGGAGCATGTGGACATGCATGCACAGTTACTACTGTTACATCAACATATCAGTTTACTGATTTATCTGGATAATGCTAGCCTGCTATTAAACTTAAAAACCTGAACGGCCACGTGTTGATGCTAACCGCAATCAGGCCGATTCTGTCATGTTTAAAAATGGGCAATGGAACAGAGAAGAAGTGTCACCGCATGTGTATTTGGCTGTCAGCGAGTGTGTTTATTGTCTGTTATTGCAGAGTGAGTTATGAGTGAAGAAGTGGCAGGGTGAGTGCTCATTACACCGGTGCTTAGTTTGCCTTTCTGTCCAGGAGCACTCACGCACATGTAACAGGATGTGAGGAGATGATTTTCTATTCTTACCATGTCGGAGTCTCCCTTGGGGACTCTGTACTCGAAAGCAGGGGTCCCATCTGAGTCCAGGAAGACAATCTTAGTGGGATGGCCCATTCTGGAAAGCCAGAGGGAAATGTAAGCGAAATGCAGGCAGAAAAGTTGACAAACTGTTAATTTATTGAAAATAAATATCTTTTTTTCGCCAATTCCAGTTTTATATTCTATTATACTGACTGCTACTCAAAAAACAAAGTTTGTTTTTCCAAAAAATAAAAATATATTAACACAGGAGGTTTGTTTGGAATAAGCTGGAAAGGAGTTGGAATAGTTAGCAACAGGCACTGGTATTAGCATACCTGATCTTTAAAAAAAAGAACAGAACGACATCTGAAGAGAAGCAAAGAGTCTCACCTCTGGTACGTGATGGAAAAGGTCAGGCTGCTTCTGGTCAGAGTAAAGCGAACTCTGGCAACTCCACTGGAGCTGGGCAGCCACGAGTCCTTCAGTCCTGTCAGCACAGCTACAAAGTCTGCACCACAACAGAATGTTTCATGAGCTGTAGTGTTTTATTCAGGCTCTGTGTCGTGTGTGTTCAGGACAATTCTGTCTATTTGTGAGCAGGTGCTCCACACGTACCTGTGCGGCTCTCCCCAGGCCCCACGTCCTCAGAGCTCAGGTAGGATCTATCATTGTATGACTTCTGGAGTTCCTCCTCTCGCTCTTTGCTCTTTCGGCGGAAATATTCAAAGGTGTTCAGCACAGAGTCAATCTGTTTTTTACCACCTATAAAAGAAAAAACCTGTAAATTACTATCAAATAGTGTATAAGCAAATAGAGATTTTCCCAAACTACTGTATTGAAATGTAAACTGGCTATACACTGTAAATGTAAGCAATGACCTTGTGTAATTTCAATGATAATATAAACATGTAAATTTGAAAAAAGTTTAAATGAAGAATGAAGGTAGAATGAAGTTATCTGTACTCTTTGCCTGCATTTATTTCATTTGTACTTTTTCTCACGGGAATAAGTTCAGTTAGGTTATGTTTAGTCTTCTTGTGGATGTGTAATGTGGTTTCCACTGTTTGTGTGGCTAAGAACACTCTAAAGGGTTAGCCAATAACACATGAATAGGACACATGCATGGGAAGAAAAATAAGATGTTTGTCTCTTAACACATAATATAAATCCTGTGTATAATAAGCGTGCAAAAGTTTAAAAAAAAAAGTTAAATGGAGTTTTTTTTAACTTGATATACTATAATTGGTATATTCTTTTGGAGGCAATGAGTCTGCATATTTTTTAAGTAAAGTCAACGTGTCAAAATCGGACAGTGTGTGACTTATCCCACTGCAGTAAATACAAAAGTAAGAAAATGATGTAAATAAACATGTGGTGTAACTTAACTAAATACGAATAAGAAACATTAACTTAAGGTGTTTATTTTGACTTGTGAAATACTTCAGGATGATAAGTCATATGAACAGCACACAGCACGCCAGAGTAAAAGAGCTCTTATTTGAGCCACAAGTTCTTGCATAAGTGAAGCCAAGTCATCAAACTCTGGGAAAAAAACCCAACTGCTATTAACTACTTTTATGGTACTGAGATTTCTTTCAGCATCTGCCTTTGAAACAGTGTCAGTACCTGGCAAGATAAACAGCATAAAGACAAACATTTGAAAACACATTGTGCCAAAGTCTGGTTCACACATGACAATGAAACACTGGCTGCTGTGTTTTAAGAACGGATGGAGTGCGAAGCAAGTGGATAAAAGGGATCGGACAGTGACAAATCTAGGCTGATCATGGCAGGTAGAAATTAATTCCAGAAGAATGAGCAGAGATGGGAGGAAACAAATACGTCAGACGCCACTTATTTCTTGTTTCTCAGCACGAGGTTGTCTCTTGCAGCTGAGGAGTTTAAGGAGAATTGGAAGCGACACTAGCATGCGATCCTAACAATGACCTGCTGTTTCACACAAACTCTCCTGATGCTATGTGTGGCCTTCGCTGCTTTGCACACACACACACAGAGACAAAAAGTGACACATGAAGCCCTGCTCATTCAGCCAAATACAGCCTCTCTGATATGTTCTTGAGAAAGCAAACCACACACTGCCTCTTACTCACTCAAACGCTATTTCACCAAGGCTTTTTTTCCCTGAGGAACTCAACTGGACTGTCTGCTGTGTGATTCACGCACACACACACACACACACACACACACACACACCACCTAAAACTCATCTCCAATCTCATAATTCCACTGCTCTACTGGGCACGCTGAAGCCCTTCTGGGCAGCATCACTCTCACTTCTCCCCAGTTGGTCCTCAGGTGCTCACACACACACACTAATACACCCACCATTTTCCAACACTTACATAAATATACCAGGTGCAAGGTTGCCAAAGCTAAGACAAACACACTCAACCTTTTCCTTAAAGCTTGACCACAACAGACACGCACACACATATATAAACACACAGTGTCTCCACAGTGTTTTACCTTTACTTTCCATTCCATTACCACACATGCCATGGAGAAAAACACCCATGGAGAATAACACTGCAGCATGAAGGCCCACCCTTTGTGTGTGTGTGTGCGTGCGTGTGTGACCATGTGTAAAGCAGCTCTGACTCCCTAATAGGGTGAGACTGTGTGTGCAGCAGTGTGCAGACAAGGTAAGTGACTATGTGAGAATGAGGCTAAATAGGTGGGTGGTGCTTTCAGCTGAGACTGGTTAGAGAAAATGTCCATTTGATGCGGCTGAATGGAAAATCAATTGACTCGCTCATTGTATTCAGCAGCTGTTCTGACGGCGAACAAGCTTACCCAAGGAGGGAAGAAAAACAACAACAACCAAGGAAAAGTTATAGAGAGGAAGAAGAAAAAGAAAGAAATAGAAGTTGAAAAAATTGCTCTTGTGACAAAAGGGGGGAAACAACTGCTCTCTCCACATACAGTTTGTTTACTGAATTAAGAATGTTCATGCTTGTTTATTCAGCTGCCTGTTTTTCGTGTGTTTAGGACTACTAGAATGGCTTGACATCTACAAAAGCTGAGAGCAGCATTTGAGCTGAGAGGATGATTACCTTGAAGACAGGTTTTGCAGCAGTGCCCCGCCAGCTGGACGGGATTGTCGCAGTCCAGGGTCGGACAGTCCTGTTTTGTGTTTTTGCAGTTTACCTTTCCCGACACCTTACCACGGCGACTCTTTTGCTGCCAGAGAAAAATACAAGCAAACACACACACATTAGTCAGCTCATCTGGAGTTACAGCTTACTGCAGGGAAAAAAAGTCAAACATAACATGTGGAGTGAGATCACACTAAGCCAAAACTTACAGGTTCACAGTGGCACTGGACACAGTGCATGATGCCAAAGGGCTCCCCCAGGTCTGGGTGCCACTTCTCCTCCAAGGGATAAGAGCGACCTCCAAATGAGCATCCTGCAACACAAACGGTGTTGATTACACACAGCAAACATTAGGCGATTACAACCTCATTTCTTTGGCTCTTTCCAAAATAAAGAACTTGATTAGAAAAGCAAAACAATATGCTTAAAAAAATGTTTTTCTTTTTGAGATATGCCAGAATTAATTAGGGAACACAACAACAACAACAAATTAAAAAAAAAAAACATTTTAAAAGATAAGCTGGACTTTCTGATATTTAGAGTTTTTAGAGAACCTCATATTAAACATGGGCAACGTTTTCAAGGCCAAGTATAAGGCAAATAAGGATTATTTTGAACGGAATATTATGCAAAGCTATTCTAGTAAGTTATAATAAAAAAAATTAAAACATTTAAAAATAAAAAAACACACAACTTAAAAAATAAGGATAATACTCCACTTTAATAGCAAGAAAAAGAAAAAAGAAAGCTCATTTTTATGACAAACCACAGATACCAGACCACGAGTGCCATTTGCATACTTAACAAATAAATCCCACACATGAGCTCACTGCCCAGACTTGCTGGAAGCTACCAAAACTCCCTGGATGCCTCAAATTTTGGAACTCGAGCTTTGCATCCTGTCTGACCTAAACGATCCAGAGAGAAGTTCCACTCAAACTTTTATCAGAGAAACCCAGATTCCCCAGAAACACACACACATCTTAATTAATTCAGTGGGCTTATTATAAAGATTATACAGTATACTGAACTTCTAGTGAAAAGGATTTTTACAGTACATGATGGGTTCAGTCTACTTTGAAATGAAAGTGAACAATGGGCTGCAACTCTTCCCATATTTTGCCCAAAGTGGATGCGAAGGAACTCCAACACTCTTGCAGAACATGTGAGCCTTTCACTTTAAACCCAGTGTGCTGGAGCAGAGCCACGGCTATAAAATACACATCCATGTCCTAATATGTAGGGACGGGGCTGTATATTGATGTTACAGGGGATAAAAATAGCTTTCAGTGTTGTTATTACTAGGCTGCACTCATAATTAAGTGTTTGTCACGCCGAGTTACCGCAGGAGTATTATAATTATTTTTGGTTAGGGTGACTGTATGTGGTGTGTGCACACACAAACTTGATGTTACCCTGGCCAGCTTCACTCGAGCTGATGGCTCTCCCCCGCTCACGACTACCAAGCTGGTTCGCATTATTCTTTCATTAAAGTTACTGCACACTTTAAACAGTCCAGTCGAGTTAAAGGGAGAGCCAAACGGAGAGCCTCGCCACTCCGCGCTGTGCTCAAATAGAGGAGGAGGCTCTGAGGAGCCAGCGCTTGTAATGGAAAGTCGATTGATTAGAGTTTCCAACATGAAATTACACGTTATAACGGGGTGGTTAACGTGGAGTTCTCGCTGCTCTGAGCTCCAGAGTAGTTACCTTATAAAAACCGCGGCGAGCTTTTGTACGAAGGGGCTTTCACACATGAATCAAAAGACATCGACTGCGGTTATGACTCACATGTTTGCCGCTGGTTTACACATGAAGCAACCTGGAACCGAGAGGAAACTAGAAAAAAACGACTGTATACTGCTGCAGCGGAAAAAACTAACTTTTAAATGTCGAGATTTAACGGTCTTAAATGTTAGCTAGCTCCGCTATCGGCGCTGCTGTCGCGTGCACAGCTAGAGGGGTGAACTGGGGTCATAACCCCACACCCATGAAACAACTCAGGTAAAAATAGACATTTAACAGTAAGTACTTTTATACCAAATTATGCACATTTTTTTTAAATATAGTCTTCACATAAAAAATAAATAATTAATAACAAAAGTTTTAAAACAAACAAAACTTTTAAATTGTTAATTAGCTGCTGCTCAGTGCTGCCCCCTGGGTCACAAACTGTTTACACAGCAGGGGTTATCTGATTTGGAAGCCTGAAACTGATGCTAACAAATGCAGCTTAGGTAGTCAACTTTTTCAGAGGCTTTCAAAGCGTGCGGCCATTTTTATAGCTATTGCTGGTATAAAGAAAAAAAAAAAACGAGTATACTCCAGCTGCCAGCTCAAGGCTGCAACACCGCTTTTCTGACGTGGCTTTTCTTGCGTTTCCAAAAACAACATACCTGATGTTCCTTTGAAGGGCAGCGGTTCTCTCTCGGGCTGGATGGGCAGAGAGGGAGACTTGAGCCGTGAGGCCGCTCCTCCGTGCAGCCACCACGCGCAGCTCAGCGCGCAAAGCAAGAAGTGGAGTGCGCAGGGAAGCAGCATCACAAACCTCCGCAAAGGACTCCCTTCAAAAACTTCCGAGAAACCGGCTTCTTTAAACCGAGAATTACAGTAATGAGAGGGAATAAAAAGTTTCCCCCTTATAACAAAACGTCCTTTGTCGTTAGCTGTGAATGTCCGCTGTTGAGAATCATCCGAGTTTCGGCCAGACAAAAAGTTTTCCGTGAGCAGGGCAGTACTTGCGCCGTCTTTCCTCGGTACCAGCGGTCTCTTCGCAGCCTTGTCTCGTTTGATTTTATAGGCTGCTTCCCTGACAGCTCCAAACAGCCGGGAGGAGGAGGAAGGGGGAAGATGAAGGGTGGGCCGGGTGATGGGTGAGGGGGTGGATGATGGACAGGGCAATCGACACCCCTATCAACTCAATACGCTGTCGAAACGACGGGGCAGTTACAGCAGTGTGTTTCAACACACATATCTGAGACGAGGTGACGGCATAAATATCTTTCCTGTCATTGAATTAGCTTGGTAAATATTTTTTTTCTGGTTGTTGTTAAAATAAAATAGCTTCTCTGCAACACCCCCCTTCTATTTTTTTTTTCATGTTGCATGTTTGATGTTGAGGTTATAAAGGACCGTGGGTGCTTTTAATAAAGTTTAATACGCTGCTGCTTCGATATTAAAAGGTGACAGGTATAATTGTTTTTTGGTGTGCCAATCCCGTGGGAGTTTGCGCAGTTTCGATAGTGGCATGCTGCTCTCTTGATTTAGTTCTTGTGTAATTGAATCAGTATTGGTGTTATTTAGCGGTGATTATCCATTTATCTGTCCGTTTCCCCAACTTTAATCATTTGGCCTTTGCGCACATTAAAGCGCTGTGCCGTTAGATAAAGTCTAATCTGCTCACCGCGATGAGCGGCACGCTTTCAGCCATCTGACGCCCACGGACATGAGCCACGAGCTCTGGGGAGAAAGTGGGAATCTCCAGCTCATATACAGTAAGGAATGTGTAAGTGTTCGCTGCTTTCTGTTCCCTTATTTTTTCAAGTGCGCTTGGCGCTGAGACCTAAGTGACTTAACAGAAACAAATGAAAATAGTTGGAATACCTCATGGCAAATTTCTCCTGGCCCTTCTGCAGACCTCTGTGCCCCCCTCCCGCGCAGTTTCCCTTTGGCTTGTCTCGAAGCCATGCCTGCTTGAACGATTCCACTTAAAATCACATGTATTTTAAAATAAAATTTATTCATTTGTGGATGTGTTGGGGGCTATTTAACATAAAGTCTTTAAAAAAATTCACCACATCAACAACAAGTGAATTTTATTAGGGACTATTTAGCCCTGGGAAATATCCCCATCAAACACAAGTAGCGGTTAACAGTCCAGTTCCTCACTGTGGTCCCTACAGAGGGGAGCCCAAAACAAACTGGTCAGGTTTACATTACAATCGTGCTGCTTGGTTTATACCACAGGGTTCAGGAAAGGTCAGGCTTTGTCAGAATGTTACCAAGCTTTCTGTATTCACAGTTCACCTGGTAGTCTGTCTCATTTTGCTCTTCTTTCCTATCAAATCCACACACCCCACTGATGCACATCAACATTGTGCACTCCGCTGTATATTATGTACCTCCTCCTATACCACAAATCGACTGCAAGGGCCATTAATATTACTAATAATATTAATATTATTAATAAATTAATAAATCGTTGCGCAAAATGTGCTAAATCTGTATGGCTTCGCTGGTAGATGTGTTTTCGCCTCCACGCACCATTTCAAACTCCTCCGTGGATTACTTTGTCCACACATAGGCTAGAAAACGCATTAATATTGATAGCTCTATTAAACCGTTACATTAAAAAAGCGTCAGTTTCATTCATTCCGTGCCAAAGGCGCAGGCAAGGTGTTATTTTTTTATACATGTGTCACATTACATGGCCTTTAGGAGCCACTTCCACCCGAGTGTGAGGATTTACGCGGCTCCCCCCCATCGCAACTGCCCAACCCTCTTTCACCTCAGCAATGGGACTCGATGATGGGCTATTTGCTCTTCGTGATAGGGTGATAAGCGACTCTTTTCTTCTGCGCTGCAAAGTGATTAATTAAGCAGACGGGATGGCAAATCGTCTACATAAAAAAACCCGCAGTGTACAGCCCCCCATAGCATACTGACAGCGGGTTTTGTGTATTGGAGGTGTCCTGCGCTTAAAAATCAGTCTGGCACCTCAGTTTCATAGTACTTTAAAATATAGCACGACATTTCTCTGGGGTCTCACCGTCATTCTTTTCGACCATCAACCAAAAGATCGCAAATACACATTTAAGTTTGAAGGTGTCCGCTCTGCTCTGAGCGGAACTTTTATTTTGATGGTTTGTAAGGCTGGCGGGGGGAACGCTGATCGAATAGTTTAATCCTTCGGTGAGTTAAATAAGTCGTCACCTGCAGTATTTTATTTTATTATATTTTTATCAGGGGAAAATCGTCATATTTCCTAACTAAAATCGGACTTTTAGGTTCAGAAATAAAAGCAAATGATTAAATAAGGTCATAATTCGTGTATGTTTTATCAAGAGACACATTTGGAAAAAATAAACCTGAGCATGTTTATAATGACGTATTTATGACCTGTTGCTGATAACTCGCAAAGATTCGATCGCATTGTAAATCTTTTTTTAACGAGTGTATCTTGGCCTCAGATCCTTGGATTCCCCTCCACCGCAGGATTTATAGGGTCGTATAATGGTCATTATTCGGTATTGATTACAGATTGTTTCCTGGATAAAAAACAATGGTCTTGGATTGATCACTGTCCCTCATTAATCTTTAAGGCAGGAGATGAGCGGACTGGAAAGGAGAGGCTAAAAAGTCTTAAATCATCTCTAATTTCCCACGAAAGAGTACAGCCCAGTAAAAAATCGATTAACCGTGGATATGGATGCTGGCAGCTCTGTGCGGTTATGATCAGGATATAATTAAAAGCAGACACGGTGCTGTCTCTCTCTCTTTTATTAAGATTCCCGCACCGCTGTCCGGGGAGCTTTCTCAGAAGAGTGCGCAATAACCTGATATGAAACACTGCTGGCACGGAACGGCCGTGGATGTTTTTTACGTGACACCATTACGAGGACATTATTAAAAGTTCTCAGCGAGCCTGCAGCGCGCGCCTGGGTTTGCGAGGGAGGGTGGTCAAGGGTGGGTATCGGCTGTCAATCACGCATAATAAAGGTTTACCCATGAATACACTCATGGATACTTTCCTCTGTGACGGAGAGCAAATCGCTGTGTATTTGTTCTCTTTTTCACGCCAGACGACCACAGCTTCATCCTACCCCCACCTCCACATCCAGACTCAGAGCGCTCAGTCACGGGGAGGGG